TTAAAAAAATAAACAAAAATATTCATAAATTAGTCAGAAAAAAAAGAAATTGGGTAAGAAACCTTACAAAAAACCAGAAAAATCAGAACAACCAAAGACTCTAAAATCTCCAAAAAATTCAGAATTCTATCCAAAATTATAATTCTGATTTTATTCAAGAAAACACTAATATTTGTCACTATAAGAATTAATGTGGCACACTTCTAATTGATGAAAAATATTTTATGAATAATGAAGTTTATTCAAAGAGGAAACTAAAAATTAAAAAAAAACTTTTTTTTAATTTAAATTTTTTTTCGAAAAATAATTTTAATAAATATGCATGCAAAATTAAATAAATTTGCAAAATTTAATTTAAGTAATAATTTTTATTTTTTATTCCAAAGTAACAATTAGGTATTATATGTATTTAATTCAAAAAATGCCTATAAATATTAGTATTTAATTAGAAATCTAATAAAAATATTTATGATAAATAACGGGGTGTAAACACACATTTATGTGTTCATTTTTGTAAATTAAACATTTTCGTAATTACAATTTTTATAAAGCAAACAATTTTTATAAAGCAAATTTTTTTGTGGCTCAGTTTGAGTCTTTTCTGAATATAAGCCGAAGCTCTTTTCTAAAAAAAATTTTTTTAATTTATATTTTAATTTATATTTAAAATTTATATTTTTTTTCCAATCTTTGAAGCTTGCAGTTAACCGAAAAAAATTAATTTTTTATTGAAATTAACTGAATAATACAGTAATGATAAAAAGTTATACTTCAGTAATCTTTATTTTATCATTAAATTGTTTTTTAAATTCTTTTGGAATTTTAATGAATATTGGATTGATAATAATTACGGTTAAAAACAAGTAAGATTTCTGATTAAAAATGTTAATAAATATGTATAACAGACAGTGCTTCGAAGCTCGTACCAAAATTCGTACTCGTACCTCGTACTCGTACCTGGTACGAAGTACGAGTACGAGTACGAGCAAAAAAATGGGGCAGATACGAAGTACGAGTACGAGTACGTGGCCAAAAAAAGGAAAAGTACGAGGTACGAGGCCTAAGTACGAGCTCGTACTTCTCGTACTTGGTGTTATTAGGAAAATTGAAAGAAATGTTTAATTTCTTTCCCATCGCCCTTGTATGGTTGGGTGGCCAAGTGGTTAAGGTGTTATGTTTTACCCAAGTCGTTAATTATTTAAAGGTGGGTTTGATTCCTTATCAGAGGAGAAAGAATTTCCTTATTTTTATTTCCATAACTAATTTATTTTATAAGTTTAATTTCGTTTTAAAAATTATTCTATTTTTACATGGAGTAATTATGAGATTTTGACCTTCTAAAATTTTAAAATATTTTACTTTGAACACTAAAAAGTGAATTTTTTTCGCCTACGGCCTTCCGAAATTTTCAAAATTTTCGCCTGCGGCGCTGAAAAATGGAAGAAATCTGGCTTAAAGACCTCAAAATTTTCAAAATTTTCGCCTGCGGCGCTAAAAATGAAAGAAATCTTACTTAAGAACATTCAAAATTCTCAAAATTTCATAATTCCCAGAAAGGGAATAGAGATTAAGAGGGATACCCGGAGATAAAACTGTAAAAAATGTATAAAAGTGTATAACCTTCCATGGAAGAGAATGAAAAACGAATGAAAAAATACCCGACCCATCGTGGAAACCGACCCATCTTGGAGAAAATATTGCTCCATTCACTTCAAAATTCTCAAAAATCTTTTCAAGTCAAGAGAAAATGGATTATATTGGAGGATTTATGGCTTCAAAGCCTTCCAAGATTCAAAAATTATCGCATAAACGCTTAATATTTAAAACTAGATGTCCTGGATTCAAAAAAATCATAGAAATTTTAGATTTTTTTATTTATTCTCAAGTACGAGTAAGTACGAGGTACGAGTACGAGGTACGAGGCCTAAAATAAGGGTAGTACGAGGTACGAGTACGAGCAAAAAAATAGGGGTGGTACGAGGTACGAGTACGAGTACGAGCAAAAAAATAGGGGTGGTACGAGGTACGAGTACGAGGCCAAAAAAAGAGGTGGTACGAAGTACGAGTACGAGTACGAGCAAATTTGAAATTTCGAAGCACTGATGACAGAGTAAGAAATCAGAATATAATAAATATATCAGAATTACATATTTTATACCGAATTAAAACATATACAAGAATTAATATATGTACCAGAATTATATACCAGAATTAAAAATATAAACAAAAACAGAATTAAATATCAGAATTTAAGATCAGAATGAAATCAGAATTAATATACCAGAATTAAATATATAAACAAAAACAGAATTAAATATCAGAATAAAATCAGAATTAAAAACAGAATAAAAATCAGAATTAAACATCTCAATAAAATCAAAATTAAATATCAGAATAAAATCAGAATTTATATCAGAATAAATTTATTTCTTCAGAACTTTACAAAGCACCTGCCATTTACTTATCGCCTTTTGTTCTTTATGTACGATTCTTCTTCTCTCAGCGATGTTTATTCCCTTTATAGTTATTATACATCCATCATTAGGATCTATTTCAACTTTAACATGTTTCTTTGTTAGTTTATTGCCTTCTTATGGTGTTTTTAATGTCAATAGTTTGATTGCTTGTATTGGGTTGGATAGAGCTTTGGCCGTTTTTTTTCCATTTTGGTAAGATAAAATAGAAAATCAGAATATTAAATCAGAATTAAAAATCAGAACAAAGAACAGAATTAAAAATCAGAATATTAAATCAGAATTAAAAATCAGAACAAAAATCAAAATTAAAATTCAGAATAAAAATCAGAATTAAAAAGCAGAACAAAAATCAAAATTAAAATTCAGAATAAAAATCAGAATTAAAAAGCAGAACAAAAATCAAAATTAAAAATCAGAATAAAAATCAGAATTAAAAATAAGAACAAAAATCAGAATTAAAAATCAGAACATAAATCAAAATTAAAAACAGAACAAAGAACAGAATTATAAGTCAGAATAAAAATCATTATAAAAAATCTTAATTAGTTTTTTACTTATATTCTTCAGGTACAACCACAGAAATAAGAAAACAGCACTTTTATCACTTTTAACACTCTCGTCATTATATCCTTTCTATGTTATGTTGCTTATTTTACAGAATACTTTGGAAAATCCCTCTCAACGTACAATCTGCACATTGGGGGAACTGCTTGGTGACAAGCTTGTTTATGTTGCTTTGCTTGCTTCATGTTTAATAATTTTTTCCGTATTGTGTTATCTAATGGTCTGGATCAAATTGAAGTGGGATATGAGGAAGAGCAATATTGGAAGTTGGAATTAAAATTACAATTAAAAATCAGAAATTAAAAATCAGAAATTAAAATCAAAATCAGAATTAAAAATCAGAAATTAAAATCAGAATTAAAAATCAGAAATTAAAATCAAAATCAGAATTAACAATCAGAATTAAAAATCAGAATTATATAAAAATCAGAATTATATAAAAATCAGAATTAATAATCAGAATTAAAAATCAGAATTACATAAAAAACAGAATTGAAATCAGAATTAACAATCAGAATTGAAAATCAGAATTAAGAATCAGAATTAAAAAATAGAATTAAAAATCAGAATTAAAAATCAGAAATTAAAATCAGAATTAAAAATCAGAATTAAAAATCAGAATTAAAAAATAGAATTAAAAATCAGAATTAAAAATCAGAATAAAATTCTATTTAAATAATTTAAGATATCCATACTCGGCAATCAATTTTCCATTCATTAATGATTATAATGTCTATCCAAGTTTGTGGGTGGTGTATCAGTAATCTGGGCTTCGTCATTATTTATTTAGTCACAAATGATTTATATATCAAATGGATATTTTCAGCTTTATTTAATGTTTTTGCCTGTATCATAGCCAGTAGTGATCCTATAGTTCTTTTAATTACAAGGCAAGGAAAATTCAAAAAAAATTTTAAATTATTTTAGTGAGGAATATCGACAAGCTTTTTACAAACAATTTCCATGGCTTTCACTATTTTATAAATTAAAATCAAATAAAATTATCCCACAAGTATGTATTTTTAATTTTTCAGAAAAAAATCCTGACCAAATCGGAAAAATCAGAAGTTGAAAGTAGCAGAAAAATGAGAGAGAGACAGATTAGGACCCAGAAAATGTGTAAAAAATCAGAAAAGATCCGAAGACACAGAAAAACTGTAAAATAATAAGCAATATCCAGAAAAATAGATGAAACCCAAAAATAAACTAAAAAAACTAGAAAATTGGAAAATCGCCTGAAAAACTTTTAAAACCAGTAAACCGCTCAGATAAACCCCCCACAAACCCTAAAACCCCAAAAATAACCCTGAAAGCTCAGAAAATTCGGAAGAACCCTCAGAAAATTCAAAAAAAACTGGAAAAGCCGAGAAAATAAGTGAGAAAAAAAAAACAAAAAAAATAGACCAAAAACTAGACCTACATATAATAGGAAAACCAAACGAAAATTTCCGGACTTTCCCAGATTCGACTCTTCCATGCTTTTTCCTGACCTGGGTATTCGGATCTATACACTTGGAACTCACTTCATATGAAACAGAAGTGGGTTGGAATTCCGATTTCCGAGTTCCGACTTTTGAGCCTTTTTCGAGTTCCGACACCTCTGACTGTTCCGACCCACCTCTTGTATGAAGGGAGCTGTCTAGAGTAGAGAACGGACTGGGAGAGTCATACGAGAATCGAGATTCAAGAAAATGGAAAACTCTCGATATCGATAACCGAGTTTTTTGAGATCTCGTCTCGATCCGGTCTCTAGTCTAGACATCAAACTCTCGTACCGGTAGATTTTATTACCCTAGCCCTCTTCACGGAAAATTGAATTTGCTCCCACCCATGCTTTCCATTCTCAATTCCCCCCAAACTTTTCTCTAATTTCTCTCATTATCTTCGTGGCTTCTGTAAAAGTAGCTGACTAATTTTAAAAATTAAAAAAAAAATTTTAAATTTCAATTTAAGGGTATTAATGTATATTTATGTAAATAAAAAGCTTAAAAATATTATAAAAATGCAACAATTTTTATTTTTAATTTTAATAAATATTTTATTTATTATTACTGTTCAATCTGCTTCTAGTAGACTTGAAGGCATCAACGTGGATTATTATGCCCCCAAAAATACAGAAGGCTATACAATGCATGCCATGCGAATAATAATTCGGTTGGTTTCTAATTATTAGAAATCAGAAAGAGATAATTTTTGCGGACTATTCTTGCGGACTTTTTATTGCGGACAATTCGTGCGGACTTTTTTGCGGACAGTTTTTCCGGACTTTTTTGCGGACTTTTCTTGCGGATTTTTCTTGCGGACATTTTTTTGCGGACTTTTCTTGCGGACTATTCTTGCGGACTATTTTTGCTGACTTTTTATGGATTTTTTAAATTCTCAAAAAATATTTTAAGTTATTGTACAATGAAAAAGACTGACCCCAAATGTAAACCAGAGTGGATAATTCCAAATGCTGCACCTGACTTGGAAGATCCATTAAAGGCTGATAATTATACTGATGTTAACTACACAGATTTAATTTTTAATATTTAATTCTTTTAGTTTCCAGAATTTAAAAAATATATTGACAATCCAGTACCACAATACAAATTAAAAAATTTGTTAAATGAAATTCCAAGACAATTTAGAGATATGATTCCACCTGGTTATGGAAGGAAATTAGATCAAGCAGCTATAGACGCTATTAAGGTGAATAGAAAAATTTAATTTAAATTTAAAAATAAAAATTGGCGGCCTTAAAAATTGGAGTGTGTTATTGAGGATTTTCTTTTGGATTTTTATTTGCGGACATTTTTTGAAGACTATTTTTGCGGACTTTTTTTGCGGACTATTTTTGCGGACTTTTTTTTCCTGCGGACTTGTTTTCGCAAACATTGTTTGACATTCTAAAAAATAACACTAATTTTCTAATTAATGAAAAAATTAATTTCATAGAAAAATTGTCCCGGCGATACTTGTAAACAAGATACTGATGAGCATAAACACATTCGTGCAGTACTTGGAGATTATGAAGTAGCAATGCTTCGACTAGCATAGTTTTTAATTTTATTTTCTAAGGGTCGTTTAAAAATTAAATAAAATAAAAATTCTAGTCCAAATAAACCACTCGCTGAGATTGACGAAATTGTGGAGACAAGATTGCAAAGAACTTATGCAGTGAAAAGATTTTTGTATGGAAGAGCATGTATTAATGAATTTGTAAATTTTAATTTTTTCAGAAAATTTAAAAAAATTTCTGGAATGCAAATTCTTTTACAGTTCCAAAAGAGTAATCCAACATTTTAAAAATTAACACTATCTTTTTGTGTTTATCCCTTAGGATTTGGATTTCGGATCTTTTTGTGTTTATCCCTAAGGTTGTTGATCTCCAGTGTCAGCAAACGGCTTTATCACCGGCACAAACGAGTACCTGAAATTCCGGTCTTAGCATACGGTACCGGTTTGGTAGATCCGTTTGGCAGATTTGGCAGATCCGGATATCTTGATTCGAAAAAGGACAGGATATACAAATATCTCGTTCGGATTTCGGATCAGAAGATCCAAAGATTGCCAGGATCCGTCTTACAGTAAGTACTGATTAGGTGGTTCGGTAGTCCTCGGCAGTACCGAACCCTGCCGAACACTAATCACTCCTGTAGGTTTTGATCTCTTGGGTGTATCATAAAAACTAAAAAATATTTCTTAAGGCAAAACCAGCAGATAATGGAGTTTTTGATCACATGTTGCTAACCTTAGAACAAGCCAATACCTTAATTAATAAATTAAATTCAAGTTTGGAATACTCTCATGTAATTCCAGAAAATAATAAAGCAAGAAGTAAAAGAGCTGGAGATTTGCTTTATTTTAAAATAGCGCCGACAAAACAGTGGCCTATTGGAAAACCCATACCCTATGGTTTTGATAGTTCTTTATGTTGGTTTTTAATTTAAATCAAAATTATTTTCAATATACTGTCAACCAGGGATCTGTCGGAAATGAAGATGTCGGAAATCGGAACTATTGGAAATCGGAAATGGCTCAAAAGTCGGAAATCAGCCTAAATTTTTGGAAATCAGAATTCCGACAGACCCCCGCTGTCAGCTACGGCAAACTCTCTATATTATGGACCTCCCTCTATAAGGGACTCTCCCTCTATAAGGGACTCTCCCTCTAAAAAGGATTCGTCTTTGCTATAGAGCAGAACGACGATTAGCGTTCTATCTCTATTCGCAGGACCATAGTCCTTTAATACCTCACAATGTTTTCTAATAGAGAGGGCCTCTCTACTAGAAAGACTCCCATTAAACCCTAATTATTTTTCCAATATTTTAATTTTATGTCATTTTAAGCTGAACGGCAGAGAGAACAAATAAGGACTTGTATTCGAGAGATTTCTTCTAAAACGTGTCTTACATTTACAGAATTAGCACTTAATGGTTCAGCCCCAAATATTTCCTCAATTTATTTTGTTAGATATATTACTACATCCTTGTAGGTTTATTCCTTTATCAATCACTTTATTATCTATTTAATAATCCTTATCAAAATACTGTTAACCCTCGAGATACCAACTTGGGGGTATCTCGAGGGTGTGGGTACCCCATCTAGTGGGTAACCATATTTTAAAAATGTCTTGGGGGGGGGGGGGATATTGCGCTCCCCTGCTCCCCTAATGTGTATTGATAGCTAACTAACAAAGTGTCTAACCGAACTAAAAAGATTATATCTTAAATCAAGGGCTCTCTTATCTGGAGGTTCTAAATATGACATTACTATCACCCTCACTATATTCCTTAAAATTAAAATATTTCCCCTTCCCTTTAAAGCTGTGGAATTAGCTATATAGGCGTAAATGAACCATATAATCCTATTTACTTATCCTTTCTTTGCAATGATATGCCTGGAGTAGCATGTCACGAAGTTATGCATGCACTTGGTGCCGAACATGAACATGTTCGACCTGGTAATCTTAGAAATAAAATAAAAGAGAAAATTTGAAAAATAGATAGAGATGATAGTATTACTGTGAATTGGGATAATATTGATCCACAATCGTACGATTCTTTTGCCTTAGCAGATTCGGCAGAATATTCGAGGTAGTTTGAAGACTTCTAAGACATTCGATCATTTCGAGGTACCTCTAAAACATTCAATATTGGAAGCATAGACTAGCTATATAGGGCTGGTTGGCTATAAAATTAATAGAGGAGCCTGTTTGATATGACAATAAATAAATCAGTCAGTGGTGTACTGGCTGACAATGAGCAAATAAAGGCTGTAAGATAACAAAGGTTTAGCTGGGATACATTGTAAACAATGAATGAAGCTTGCCTAGCAATAACTGCCTTTATTGGGCCAATTGTCTTTGTAAGGACAATTCACACCTATTTTTAGCTATTTTCTTTTACAATCACCAAAGAGAGGGATATATGTATCACAAATCTGAATTTATTTTTAAGTTATGGAATTCCCTATCATTGTGACAGCATAATGCACTATTCAAGTACTACTAGTGCGCGGAGTTATGGTCTAAAGACAATGACTGCAAAAGTAGATCCAGACGTTAACGATCCTTTAATGGGGCAACGTAAAGGATTAGCTCAAGCAGATGTTGATGCAATTAATAAACTTTATTGCCTTCCACAAGGTAATAAATATTTTTTTAATTGGATCGAGTTCATTAGGCTTATCAAATAACTTGGTAGGCTTATCAAAAAACGAGAAAAGGGTTTACTCATATGTATAGGTATATTAGAGATCGCCCAACAAAAACAAAATTCCTGATTTTCGGGAAGTCGGGAATCGAGCCGGCTCGATCCCTGGTATATACATATAACGAACTTGCTTATATGTATAAGGGATCCAACCGACCCAATTGCTTATTTCCGCAAATCGGAAATTTATTTTTATGACGGCTAGCTATGTCTTAAGCACAATTTTGTACCTAAGTCTACCAATAGGCAAAAGGGATGTCCTGTCAGTAAGAATTAGAAATAAATGTGGTCAACCCTCAACCACCCTTAAGGGATAACCTCAGATCTATGCCATTTTCAAGAGACTATGCCCTTAAAACAAAATTTATTTTTAGCAGACTGTACAGACAACTCCAATTTTTGTGGGGGTTGGGCTATACAAGGACTATGTTATTGTGGTAATACAGCACAGCCAGATTGTTATATGCTTGGAAACTGCCGAAATTCTTGCAATTTTTGCAAGTATAAATTTAATTTTTAATTTTCAAATTAAATTTATTTTTTAAGTTGTACATCACATGGAATTAACTAAGAATTTTTGTAAAATATAAAATTTGATAAATTTTTGATATAGTTTATTGATTTTATGTTCAATTTAAATTTATTAATAAATAAAAGATTTACGCATATGTATAAGAGAGATAATCCAAAAAATTGAAAATTTAAGGCCAGTAAATTTATTTTTGGCCTATACTTTTACTTAAAATATTTTTCACGCGTGCTCGTATTAAAAATAAACTCGTATACAAGTTCGATTACAAATTTTGAAACAAGCTTCAGTCTTCCATTTTTTTGAATTCGGCAGGGCCGTCCCTTTTACACTACTCCCACAATGGGCCGTGTCGAGTGTTGAGTATCAAGCGATTTGTTCCGTGCCTTTTTATTTTATTGTAGGAACGACATGTACCACTCGACACTTGGATTGTCGGTCATGGAGAACTGACCCGAAGAACCGAGGATTTTTCGGTTCGGTTCTTCGGTTCGGTTCCGGATATCCGAAAATCTTCCAGGAACTCTCAACACTTGACAGCCGTCTGTGTCGAGGGGTACGTGTCCTTCCTACAATGAAGTAGGGCACGGATCGTCCGTCTGTCTCGCTCTGATATTTCTTCTATTTTTAAAAATTATTACTAAATTTGTAAGATTTTTGTGAAATTAGAAAGACGAGACAAAAAAATCAAAGATTTTAGGCGGAAATGAAATTATAAAATATTGAATAAACGGCTAAATTGTTAAAAAATTAAAAATAAAAAAAATATAAAAAAATAAACATGAGTTGGTAAGGCTGCGTGGAAAAATCTGAGGAAATGACAAATTTATTTATTCAAACAAGACAAACAAAACATTTACATATTTGAATAATATAATCATTTTATCAAGAAATACCCAAAAATGAAAAATATTTTTCTAATATTTTTAATTTTATTTTTTATTTTTTTGACTAAATGTGATAAAAATAAAGGTTAGATATCTATATTGCTTTTCTATGGGATTAAAAATTTTTTTGAGGGTTTTCCTTCATTTTTGAATAATCTGAATGATAAAAGACTATTTTTTGACCAGAAATCTTAAAAAATCTAGACCTTCACTTGATTCGTGATTTAACTTGAGAATCTTGACCAGATTCTTGACCTTGAGTCGAGGAAAAATCAAGGAATATTGAAAAATGACTTGATATTACTCTGGACCCATAAAAATCAAGATCTGGATCCAGATCTAGGCCGATCTCTAATTTTTATATCCTCATTCAACAGACGGGAGTTCAGTAAAAGCATATGTATGTATATGACCTTAAATTCATATAGAACAGGAAAAGCCTCTTCAGATTCGCTATTCGCAAAAATAGAGAATTCCCGACGTTTTCTGGTTGGTAATCTAAATTCCTGAAACCGGGAATTTATTTTTTATATCGACATTTTCCCTGATAAAAAATATTAATAGACTAACATATCAACATTCAATGCTTATTTTCATGATCTAGTTTACAGATGGAAAAGGAAATGACAAAGGAGGTGGGCAAGAAAACAATGAAGGGGTGGCAGGAGACAATGGAGGAGGAGAAGAAAACAAAGGAGTAGTGGAAGGGGACATTGGAGGAGTGGAATTAGACAATGGAGGTGGAAAAGGAAACAAGGGAGGAGGAAATGGGAACAAAGGAGGAGGAAATGGAAACAAAGGAGGAGGAAATGGAAACAAGGGAGGAGGAAATGGAAACAAGGGAGGAGGAAATGGAAACGGAAATAAAGGAGGAGGGAACGGAAAAGGCAAGGTAAAAAAATTTTTTTGATCGACAAAACTCGTAACTCAATTTCGAAAAACTCGGTTTCCCCAAGGGTACATGTAAAATCGAGATCTGATTGTATTATCAGAGCAAACACAATTTTAGCTTAAATTTAGCAGAAGAAATTAATTAATGGGGTCGATGCAGACTATTATGCGCCAGATGATGCTGATGGATATTCTCCAGCAGCTAAACGGAGAATTATGCGGTTGTTTATGACATTAAATAAAATTTAAAAAATTATTTGTCCGCAAATTTTGTCCGCAAATATTTTGCGGATTAATTTTGTCCGCAAGTATTTGCCCGTAAAATTTGTCCGCAAATTTAACAAAATTTTCACTTAAATAAATTTTGCGGATTTTTGACAAGAATGGAGTCATAAATTAAATCCCTTTAGGTATTGTACGGAAAATCAGAACGATCCAGAATGTAAACCTGAATGGATTATAACTGAAGGAGAAATACCTGAAGCACCTTATGGTCCAGGTAAAGGGAAAGGCAAAAAAGTGAGCTAAACAAAAATTTAAATTTTTAAAAAAATTTTCAAGTTCCCAAAATTCAAAAAGAATGCCAAAAAGCCACCGAAAAAGCACAAAATAAAAGACCCCACAGAAGGGCTTCCGAACAAATACAAGAAAAAGTTGCCGCCTGGGAAGGTCAAGAAAATGAAACAGGAACATATTGATGCTTTAAGGGTAGGCAGGAGAGAAATTTTAATAAAAAATTAAAATTTCAAAGAAAAATTGTCCCGGAAATAGTTGCAAACAAGATAAAGAGGAACATAGAAATAGCCGTGCAACCCTTGCCGATTATGACATATCACTGCTTAAACTAGCATAGTTGCTTAAAAATTTTTTAAGATAGAAAAATGAATTTATAGCCCAGACAAAACTCTTGAAGAAATTGATGAATATGTGGAAACAAAAATGCAGAGGACTTACGAACTTAAGGAAATTATTTATGAAAAAGTGGGGGTTGATGATTTTGTAGGTTTTTGTGTATTCTTAATAAATACAAGAGTGGGGGTCTTCGGCATTCTTTTAAGAAGTGAAGCCTTGCTGTGAGAGGGTTTGAGAAGTAAGGTTGTCGGATAGTTACAAATCTTCGGATATCCGGATCCAGATATCGGATCCGATAGCCTTCTTGAAAAGGGAGGGCCTTCGGCATTGAAAGGCTGGGGGTGGGGGCTCGGAATGACATGGTCATTATTTTAAGGGAGGGGCTCTACATTGGAGGACCCCAACCTAATTTCACAGATGGAACCCTCGTCATGAAGGGACCTTGGAGGGACCTCAATACTTTTTTAAATTTAAGTCAAAACCAGCAGACAACGGCTTATATGGTCACAACCTTCTTACATTAGAACAAGCCGAAGCTTATATTGCCCAACTTAATTCAACTTTGGAATATTCTATCGCTATTCCCGACGAAAGTAATGGACGACGAAAACGAGCTGGCAATCTAATTTATTTCAAAACTTCACCAACAAGAAAGTGGCCGGCTGGAAAGCCTATACCTTATGGTTTTGATAAATCCCTAAGTCTCACTTCTTAATTTTTCGAATTTTAAATTTTTGTTATCTCAAGATACTAGACAAAGAGACGTTATAAGAACCTGTATTCAAGAGATTACTTCGAAAACTTGTGTTACATTTACGGAAACTAACCTTGATGCAACTTCTGATAGACCGCCTAATATTTCCTCAATATATTTTGTTAGGTATCCAACAACCGCTTAGTATGTTTATTTTATAGATAGATGTCCTTATCTATGAGATACCTCCTTGGGATGAAGACCTATCAAGAGGGGTGAAGGGGATCAAGACGTATAAGGGCGATTAAGACGTATAAAGGGAATCAAGACAGAGGTCAATAGGCCAGATAAACATTGAGAGGCCAAACAAACTTTAAAGTTATCCATTATCCAACTAAATTTTTACAGAAGATATCTCAACTTGTATTTCTATTATAGGGGGTATATTATAGTGTGGTCCGACATACCTATTCCTTAAAAAAATATTTTCTTTCAAAGCTGTGGATTAAGCTATATAGGTGTGTATACACCATCTAATCCTATCTACCTATCCTTTCTTTGCAATGATATGGCTGGAGTAGCATGTCATGAAGTAATGCATGCACTTGGCGTTGAACACGAACATATTCGACCTGGTAATAGTATTTTAGAAATAAAAATAAGTCTGAAAAACAGATAGAGATGATAGTATTACTGTTCTTTGGGATAATATTGATGCACAATTTTTGGATTATTATGTTCCAGCTGATGGATCAACCTACTCAAGGTAAAGGAAACAGCCATAAAATGCGCTTAAGCTTTAGTACACTACTAAGAAATTGGTTGATGCCTTTATAAAGGACTGCTAATGCCCCTAGATATAATGCTATCAGGAGGAGCCATATATCCAGGGACATTATCGTCAGGCATCATTGTATTAATGCTCTTCTAATGGTGTTTTTAGAGGGTTGATATCAATAATCGCGAGAAATTTTAATTTCGAAATATCTCAAAACGTTTTGAAATTTTACGATCGAGAACTCAATTTGATAAGAATATCGTCTCCTGTTGAAATCTAGACTCCATTCCCATACTAGTTTCTCATATTTATCACAATTTTGCAGTTATGGCATTCAATATAAATGTGATAGTATAATGCACTACTCGTATAAAATTGGTGCAAGGGATTTCGGTTTACATACAATGACTTCAAAAGTAAATCCGGACATTAATGATGACTTAATGGGCCAACGTAAAGGACTGACCCAAGCAGATGTGGATGCAATTAATAAACTTTATTGCTATCCTGAAGGTTGGAAATGTCCAAAATTTACTTGGAATTGTCATTAAATATTATAGAATGTACTGACACTTCCAATTTTTGTGGAGCTTGGGCTACGCAAGGTCTATGTTATTGTCGTACCAATGGAAAACCTGATTGTTATATGCTTCAAAATTGTCCAAATTCTTGCAATTTTTGCAAGTACGTAGATATTTTTTTAATTTTTAAATATTTAATTTAAAGTTGCACACAATATGGAGACTAAATAAAAGAGATTGATGTAAAATAATATATATTGTGGGTTTAAAAATTTTGTTTATGTATATGGTACAAATTTAATATCCAATAAATTTTTTTTAATTCTTAAAGGTAATATGTATAGTTGCATAATTTTCGATTGGTCTGTATATTATCTCCTAGATGAGCAATCTAGCTGGCCCAAAAATAAATTCCCTAATTTCGGGAATTAGGTATAGGGTCGGCTAGACTCCTGTCAGATATAGACTCGTGGAGTTAACTTCCGTAATTAGATAAAAGCTTCAGCTTTGCAATAGAGCCTGCCTTGGTAAGGCTCTATTGGCTCTAAGGCACTAACAAATAAGCCTGTCTTTATTTAACGTTATAATTTTTCATTTTCATTCAAATTAATCTCTAGGACAATAGAAATACTCATCTTCTATTGTCTTTGATTCTTCATCTTTATTCTTCAAATAATTTCCAGCCTTCAAGGATAAACTCGTTCTTTCTTCATTTTATTAATTATTTCCCCTTAACATCAAAGGTTAGGACGGAAGGGGATTTTGAGAGAGAAAACGAGTATAATGACGTATTGAAGGGACGTATTTGAGGATTGCCTGAGGCAAAAGAATATAGAGGTTTTAATATCATGCCAAAAGTAAATTAACTCTATAGGAGGGGCTTTATGTGTCAATTTCTCTTAAAAAAGGGAAAATTGATGCGACGACCACTGATTGAATAAGACAAGAAGGATAGACATTTTGAGGGTAAAATTAAAAAAGTGAGAGAGGAATTGGCACAAAAACGTAAAAAAAGGGATGGATGTGCCAATGAAAATTTTTTTATATTTTTTCATGTAAGTAATACTTCTACTTACTAGTTAGCGCTAAATTAACTTATGATACATGGAGAAAAATTTTATTTTTTATGCTCGCGCTCATTTGAAAAAGAGCCTGGATATGTGTTAGTTATACAGAATTGCGTAAGCAATTGAAAGAAAAATGAGAAAATTGAAGGACCTCCCTTATTTTTTAATAATAATTTTTAGAACTGTGCCAAATTTTTAAGAAATGAAATTATTTGTTAAAAAAAGATTTTTTGTCATTCTATGAAGGAATATTCTAATGTAAATCCACTCAAAAGTCCATCTAAAAAGTCACCTAGAATGTCTTTCGCTGAGACCAATACAAAGAATTAACACCTAATTTATATTAGGAACCACCCTCTAATGAAATGAACCTTTTGAGTAAAGCCTATGGTAAGGCCGTGTTTGTCGATCGAAACCGAACTAGCAAACTCGGGATTTTCGGACATAAGAAAACCCCCTCTTTTACCTCTTCTACTAGATATGTTCACGTTTCGAAAGGTTCTTTTAAACCATCCGAAAGATTTCTTAGAACCAACAACCCTAATTAACACATTTTAATTTTTTCTTAGTGAGATAATTATCACTTTTTCATTTTTTAATTAAAAAAGTAAATAGCTAAAAGTATTTTTTCCTCTCATCCCGGAAATGAAATTGAATTTTAGATTAGCACTTCACTTTTTGGCACATTCCCTTTTTTTTTATTTATTCAGAGAACAACAATTTAGTGAAACGTTAAAATAACCAAATGCCCTATTTAAGAACTTTAATTTTCATTAAAATTTATTTTAAAATGAATTTAAAATGTTATAAAAAAGGGAAGAAAGTTTTTTAGTTTTATAACACGTGACCATACCAGGGAACGAGCCGACAATAGAACAAAATTCAGTTCAGTTGCGCAATTTCGGGAAATCGGATTCCCGAGAAATTTTTAATTACCGATTTCGGGAATCGTTCCCTGATGCATACCAACTGGATTTTTAGGACCCTTTGCTCGAGTCAAACATAATAAAGTTTACTTCTCTTAGACTGGCTTGTCTTTTTTGGGCTTTATTTAATCAGAATGGATCTTTTATCATTCGAAAGCTCTCCATAAGCATCTCTTTTCTAATTGGACAGGTTAACAAAAACGCAAGATATTGTTGTAGCCCGTTAATAAGCTATCAAAAAACGACACATATCTATTTCGATTACACCCCCATATTTTAACGGAAATACGGGTAATAAATTTAACTTTTATCTAAACCATTATATTGGACCACACATGTGGTTTGATAAGATCAAATATAATGAAGGGTTCTCAAACGTAGAGGCACGTGTTAGATAATGAATAGAGAGGTCCATCCTCCTTTTTTTTAATTTTTCTATCAATTTTTAACTAATCGGAATTTATATTAGAATAAACAAAATCAGAAATTTAATGTTTGAAACATAACAAAAACATAAATAAAAAATGCCCAACAACACTTCAAACATCGTTTTGTTCGACTATTTCAACCCAAACAACACACTTACAACAACATTTAGCCGATTAGAAACAACAAAAACACCCCAACAATTTTCTGAAATTGTCGATAACGAAACTTTATTTTTCCTAAAATTTTATGAGGAAACTCGAAATTTTGAAAGATTAGTGGGAATTATAATTCCGTCAATTTTTGCTTTGTTTGCCCTTTTTGGGCTAGTAGGGAATTTGTTAGTTGTTATAGTTGCTTTGAATAGACAAATGAGGAATTCGACAAATACTTTAATTATTGGATTGACTTGTTCTGATTTGATGTTTTTGACGCTGTGTATACCTTTTACTGGTAGATTTTGAATTATTGTTCTTTTACCAGAGAATTTCAAGTCGAGCCATACCTAAGGGATTAAACAAACTTAACTCAAACCATAGATTTGAGGGGATCTATCTATTAAATAATTTAAGCCCGATCTCGAGGGTTTAAATAACATGGGTTTATGGGGTTCATGAAACATTTACGGTATTTGGTTTCCTGGAAGGTCCACTGAATTCTTTCCCTGAATGGTTTCTTGAATCCATAGTAAGGTCCTTCGTCCAGGGACACGGATTGCGTGAAATTACGTGTTTTTGTGACTTGCGACTTCGGATAGCGGCTACGGATTTTAAAATCAAAATTGCGGCTGATGAAAGCTGCGTCCGACCCTGCTTGGTTCCCCTTATGTTTCTTTGAATCCTTGTGTCCTTGATCCCTGAATGTAAAATATTGCCCTTAGTTCCCTAAATCCCTCTGTTCTTGGGTTTACTAAATCTCTAGTACGGTATCTCTGAATCCCTTGGATGATCTCTGGAGGTCATATCGGATAAAAGGTTTAGGTTGCTTTACCTTTTTCCTAATGTAAATAAATAGTCCAGAAAGTTTTCATTAAAGTAAAAAAATTTTTACAGCCATTGACTACGCCTTTCCAATATGGGTTTTGCCTACATGGATGTGCCCTCTTATAAACTATTTACAGGTTTGAAGATTTTGGGATTAAAAATTTTTTAATTTAAAATTAAAGCATTCTTCTGCTTATTTTTCTGTCTGGACATTAACGTTGATGGCAGCTGACAGATTTCTTGCCGTTGTATTTCCGGTAGAATCTATGACTCTCCGGTGAATTTTAATAGGATCTCTTAATAAAGATTTATTTGTAGTACCCCAAAGAATACCTTCTTTGTGCTCTTAATTGTATATGCTGTTATTTTATTATCTCAAATTCAGGTATATTTTAGACGTAAATTTAAAAAAATTGGAAAAGATTGGGAAAAGATTTAGTTAATTTTTAGTACCCCATCTATTAGCGACATTTATGGACCGTACTTGCGGGTGGGAGAAAATCTCCCTATAAAAGATAATATAGGAGATATAACTCCTATTTAAGATACTCCTTTCCCTCCTCGCCCTCATTAAGACCTCAAAAATAAGGCCATATTCTTATTAAAGACATCGAACAATGACAAAGTTCCAGTTTGTCTTGTCCGCAAATTTCTGTTGCGGACAAGAACATTCTGGGCCCCTAAAATCGTGATAAAATCAAAAAAATTTTTTAAAGGTCGGACGTATCCATGGCGTCTATAGTTATACATTCATAATGGAACAACGTTCAGCTTGTTCTATTGTGTCGATTGCTCAAGGTTTAGCTACGGTAGCTGAAGTAAATTTTGAATATTTTTTGAATCTAATTGAAATTTTGAAGGCACGCCTTTACTTTTTTTCATTTAATATTTTTGGATATTGTCTTCCTTTGGGTATTACTTGTGTTCTTTACTATTTAATGCTTAAAAGATTGTGGTATGCTCCTTTTAGATCGAGTAATGACAATAATACAAAAATACCTCCTACAAAGGTTGGTCTAAAAATCTTCTAGTAAATGAGGATACGTGATGCTCGGGAAAAGAAAAAACCCGGATTCGGGAAACGGGAGTCGGGTCGGGAAATGACCTCGGGAGTCGGGATCGGGAGTCGGAAAATACCCGAGCATCACTAGAGGATACTATAAGTATTACCCTTGTATAAGTAAAAGAGGATTTCCCCGAAATTTCAAGATCAGCGAACGCTGAGTTGGAGTTGTATCATCAATATGTTTAAATATTTTGCGGATATGGATATCCTATCCGCCTATCTTTGTGTTTCCAAGTATCAAAACTTGAATATTCTATCCGTAAGCATCCGTGAGCATTAGAGATCGAGATTTTTGAAAAGCCTGAACCTGTTTCTGGACTCTGGATATGATTTATTTACCTGGGCCGGATCCTTGGCCTGTAGTCCAGGAAAACACCAGGCCCAGGAAAACCCCAGGAATATCAAAAAATGCCTGGAACTGGACTCTGGGTAAGGAAAAACTCAGGCCTTGGTCCAGGTCCAGCACGATCTCTAGTTAGCATGCCAGAAAACATGATTAATAGAAAGTTAGTTTTTGAAACTAAAACTGGATTTTTGGAAAATCCCTCTTAAATCATTATTTTATCTTTATTTAGATAACTTCCTTATTCGCTAACAATTCAGAAAGGTCAAACTGTTCACTCCGTTCTCGACCAGAAACAATTAAAGCAAAAAGGAAGGTTACTAGACTTGTCCTTTGTGTTGTTATTATTTGGGCAGTTTGTTGGCTTCCGTTAAATTTGTGTTTCTTTGCCTCAGGCATTTTTTGTTTAAAATTTTTCGAAAAATATTTATCCTTTATTTAAGGTGTTATTTATCCTGACACGTTGGTATTACGAGGTGGAAAGCCTATCGTGGTTGTACAAATATTTAGTCAAGTAAAATAAATTTTGTAAATTAATTTGTTATCTCCCTGACTATTTGCGGGCAAAAAATAAGTAGGATAAGGAAAAGTCTGTAAATATTACCCGCAGGTGATCAACTTTAAGGGTCTCTTTTATGTACGCCCACCATTGGTTACACCCTAATTTAAGGGAAGATTACCTATTTAAATTTGGCTGGCCAGTAGGTGCGGTGCATGTATGTGTTGTCTGAACCGTATACCAGAAACCCGGATTTTTGAAACCCCAACCCAACTTTTTTCTCAACAAGTTTCATACCTGGTATGGGGCAACTTCCTAAGCATACCCCCAACTTAAGATAGCTTAGGTAATTATATTGGCATACGTAAAATTATTGGCATAAGTTCATCATTATCAAACATCAAAATTTTAGGTTCTCGCCTATTGTAATTCTACATTAAATCCAATCCTGTATCCACTGGTTTCTGAGAATTTCCGCAAAGGTTTTCTTCGTGTTTTGAGTACTTTAGCTAACTGGCTAAGTTGTGGGCATTGTTGTAAACAGTTTCATTTATACAATACAAGGATGGAATTAACTATGCTTAATAGAACAAATAGTAATAAATCCAAAAATGCCATTAGCAAAAGCAATTCTAAAAATACGACTGGCTCTACTAAGACTACAACAAATCAAGTGATTTTAATCATTTTAAAATGAATTTAAAATTATCGTTAAGGCACAGAGTGCGTACGAACCAAGTTTGTTTTCATTGTTGCATAGAGCATCGCTACCCAAACGCTGTAGTGCCGGTTAATTTTTTAAAAAAATAAAAGGACCTCTCAATTAGAGATAAGACTTGAAGAGAGTGATTGAGAGAGGGAGATCGAAAGAGAGAGGGAGACTCCGACGATCGAGAGATATCTCGAAATAATATCGATTCCGATGACCCTCTTTTTCGTTCGAGATCTCGTCTCGGACTTGCCAATTCCATTTACTAAACTGTCCATTACTAATCCATTTACTAAACTGTCTCAAGGGAGGGCGCTTAAGAGGCTCTCTATGGGCGTGAGTTTAGGAGGCTCTTGAGTGAGGGAGTTTAGGAGTCTATTGAGTGAGGGTGTTTAAGAGGCTTGAGATTGAGGGAGTTTAGGAGGCTCTGAGTGAGGTGAGTTTAGGAGGCTCTCGATGGGGAAGTTTAAGAGGCTCTCGAGTGAGGGAGTTTAGGAGGCTCTCGAGTGAGGGAGTTTAGGAGGCTCTTGAGTGAGGGCGCTAAAGAGGCTTGAGAGTGAGGGAGTTTATGAGGTGCTAATCTAGCAAGACTTATCTTCTCTTAGTTCTTTTAAAAAACTCATTTTTAAAGTAAGCATTGCCGAACGTCTCACAACCACTAGCGGTAATGGTTCCGCTCGTATTCGCATTCTCTCACGTGGAGAGTCGGCCAGTTACCTTTCTGTTGGAACAACCAATCTTCTGAACCTGCAACAAACAACTTTAAGTAGTAGACGTCAATCAAAGATTTTATTTACTCCAATAACAGTCCACAGACCTTCTAGACATTCTTTACTTGAAGCTAAAAGGAGCGGGGAAAATATTGAAAGAATTCAACAAAATTTGGAACATAGGCGGCATAGCAATGAGGAAAAAATTATTAAAAATGGGGAAGAGAGGAATATTTTAATTTTAAAGGAAGAAGAATGTTGTGAATATAAATTTGAAGATGGAGATTTGGAAATTTAATAAAAAAAAATTTCTCTAATTTAAATGCCTAATTTAATTTTTACTATAATTTTTATTTTTTAAATTTAAAAATTAAAATGAATTGAAGAAATAAGGGGCAGATTTGGTAGAAGGTATTTTTGGGAAGAAAGCATTTCGTTAGGAAAGCTGATACTGATATCAAAGGGTTTTGTCATGGAGTGGACCCAGTCCCTCATGGAGTGGACCCAGTCTCAGGCACAAGAAAATATGTCACCATCCATCCCTATGGAAGTTTATTTTTTCCTTATAAACTCTCTCCAAGTATGAACACTCTATTGGAGATCGGATCGAGGTAGGAGTTACTTGAGGCCTTTGAAATCCTAGAAGATATCGCATTCGATCAATGCAATCTTCTAAATAATTAATCCTAGTATCTATTTTTATTCAATATATATTTTAAATAAATATAGATTAGTGCTAATATAACACAATTTTTTGCTGGAATATGTTGTAGAATAATTTCTAAAAAATTAGAGAAATAATTAAAAACCCAGGCTTTTTGAGGAAATTCCATCTACAACATACAGTATATTTTATATACAAAAAGAGAATCATGAAGTAAAATTGCTTATATTAGCATGTATTTGGGTATTGTTATTCAATCCAGATTCTGTCAGAGACGGACTTGCTGTGGATGCCAATATTTCAATAATATTAGCTCTCAGACCAGCTACCATCCCAAAAAGTCCGACCGCCGCCAAGGCCAAATTAATCAAAATAAATAGCTGAACTTTTAAGGATTTCCAACCAAAAGATGCCCGTAATTGAGGCAAAAAAGTTAAAAGATCTATAAGTGTTGGGTAGACAAAAGCTAGAAGCATTCCGGAAGTAATGCCAACAAGGGGAATAATTCGTTCAAGGTTGGGGACGGCAGCGGCAAATAAAACTGAAAAAAATTTATTTTTTAAGCGAGAAGACTGGGATTATGTGAGAATAGATAGCAGGGATCCGCCGACAGAAAATCAAATTCAGGATTTTCGGGAATCGTGAATCGGGTCGGCTCGATCACTAATAGATAAGTATAGATAGCAGGGATGGGCGATTTCGCATTTTCGCATTTCGCATCTTTCGCATTTTTCGCATTTTTTGGCGCGAAAAGTTTCGCATTCCGCATTTCGCTTTTGGTCCAAATGCGAAATTTGTTTCGCTTTTTCTTAAAGTATTTTTTTTATTTTTAAGAAATTTTTTAAAATTATAATGTCTTTAATATGGAAGTATTTCTCACTTTCTGGAAGAGTAGCGTTCTGCAAAAGTTGTAGTTTTTCGAAAAACTACCCGCCACGTGCGCCAACAACATTTTTAATCTCACATTTACGTGGCAGTCATCCAGAATTGTAGGTTTTCCTGGTTTTCCTGGGTTAATTTTCTCCCAAAGATTTCTCTTTTCTAGCATAATTGCCACTTCAGCCTTAAGAAAATTCTAAAATTTTCGCCTGCGGCGCTGGAAATGGAAGAATTCTGGCTTTTTTGGCTTTCCAACATTCTCAAAATTTTCGCCAGAGGATGGGAGAATATCCGCTGAAAATGGGAGAATATCCCACTGAATCTCATGATATCCGTCCAAGTAAAATTACAAAGAAACAAGCTTTGATTATTGAGACCCAGCTCGGTCAGGAGGATATCGGTAGATTTAGAGGGATATCGAAAGATTTAAAGGGAGTAAGGCATATGGTGGATTTTGAGAGATATCAAGAGATTTTGGGGATTAAGACGGATATTGTGAGATATATGGGATGGATATCAGAGGATTTGGGAGCATCAAGAGGGATATCGGGATATATATGTGCATATAGAAGGACGGTGTGGGATTAAGGAGGATATAGGTTAAGATAGATTTCGTATACTTTAGATGCTCTAATATCCCCGATATGCCAGCAAAAATCTCCCGATATCCAACATAATCCTACTTAATACCCCAAAATCCTTTGGTATTACACTAATACCCAAATCACCAATATCTGTTCAAGAAAATGCAGAAATGCTTTTATTTTTGCATCATAAACTCGTAATTTATAATTTTGAATATGAATAAAATTTTTTGAATTTTAAATAATTTCGCATTTTCGCATTTCGCATCTTTCGCATTTTTTGGCGCGAAAAGTTTCGCATTCCGCATTTCGCATTTTATTTTTTTAAAAAAAGTTTCGCATTTCGCATTTCGCTTTTTATTTTTTGATTTCGCCCATCCCTGATAGATAGGTTATATAATCAGTACCAGATAAAGCTCAATTTGAGTTAAATTTTTTAATTTGCCCAGTCTTTGGGGGGAGACTAACCCTTTTTCAGCCTCAGGCCCTTTTTCACCTCTGAAACTCTACTACATATTTTTTAAAAAAGTCACAAAACTTCGAAAACTTCCTTCAATAGAATAGCAATTGAATGCTCTACTCCAATTGAATACCCTTCCCCTCTAATAGAAAGACCCTTTGGAGGAAGATTGAAAAATAGACCCCTGGGCATTCAATTAGAGCAAATTATTTTCCAAAAAACTAACAACAAACAGTCACCAACAATGTCCGCACTAACAATTCAGTGCCCAATTTAAAATGTTGAGGGAGCAAAGGTATCCAACGTTTGTTGTCAGTAACTTCCTTCTCCTCATACTGACAGCTATCCTCTTTTGATTCCTTTTCGTAATCATTTTGGGAAATTTTATTTTCAATTTGTTCTTCAAATAAAAGTTTGCGACATTTTGTCCAAACAATTTCCACAATTACGTACATTTGTAAAAGGAAAGAGGCGAGGACAGAAATGCAAATTGCCATTTTGACCAGGGTAAAGGATCTAAGAAGACAAATTTGATTTTTAGAGTTGAAGTGATAGTCATTTTTGGGACATTTCTGAACGTTTATACGGACATATGGAAATTGTATTTTGTTGTGCAACATTTTTTGCAGATAGAAATTTGCGGATAGAAATTTGCGAATAAAAAATTGCGGATAAAAATTTTATTTGCGGACTTTTTTTGCGGACAAAAATTTTTTGCGGATATTTTTGTTCTAATTTTTTATTAACACCAACATTTGATGTTGAGGCAAATTCTGTGTAATACTTCCTTTAATTTTATCACCATAAGCAACATATCCAAAGAATCCAATACTCGAATAAACCAAAGTTGCAAGAAAAATGCCGCTTGAGAGAATTCCGAATGGTCCTAGCATTTGACTGGGTCTTTTTAATTTGTTTTCCATTGGAAGGACCTTTTGAGTAAAAATATTTTTTTAACTTTTGAAATTATAAGGCTTCTGATAATTAATTTAAAATAATTTTTAATAATTTATTAAAAATTCAGAACCGAGGAGCGACACTTGCGTCACGACATTTGCGAACCTAGGGGGTAGAGTAAAAGTAGAATACAAAATAAAATCTCATTTCTTAAAGGTTAAGAGATACAAGTTTGAGACAAGCTTATTTAGTGCTGGCGTTATCCCAGCTAGAATATAAGCTGGAAATAAGAGACTAAAACGCAAGTGCCGGGCCGCAAGTGTCGCATAGCCATTCAGGAACTGTTTAATAATTAATACAAGTGTCTGGGCTTCAAATGAGTAGATGATTGAACCGGCTGCGGTCAGTAATCCGTCAAAGGTATTGAAGAAAGGCATCTCTCCGATACTATGAAGTGGATAACGAATGACATACTGAAAAGAAAATTCAAAAAAAATTTTTCGAGTCAACCTGTAAGAGAAAGGCTAAACTTGAAATCAAACAAAAATTCCCTATTGTACTCAGCCAAGCAATAAATTTTAGTGTTCTCAAAAAATTGAAGAGGACCATAGGAATATAAATAGCCATTAACCACTGAAATGGAGTTCCAGCAGAAGAATGGAAAAATTCTTCGTAAAACTTTAAAAATATCGTAAGACTAAAGAATATTTAATAGACAGGGGGGAAGAGATAGAGAAATTCTCTTTAGATTTTGTCGGATCCGGATCCGAAAAAAGTTAGGATATCCTGAAATTTTCGGTCTTGGGATTTCCGAGAATGAGAGATCCCGAAAATACTGGGATGGGGGATTAGAAGTCCATGGTCCTTGGATCGGTGTTACGACGCAAGTGCGGATGCGACAATTTCGGATTAAAAATTTTTTAAAAATTTTAAAAATGATTGAAATGATGTTCCGTTTTTTTGTCCCGGCTGTCAGGTCCAGACTTCTGACGGTTTCCGAATCATTTTTAGACAGATGTGGCACTGAAAACTCTAAAAAATCTTAAACATTTTAAAAATTTTATATCCGCAATTGTCGTACCGCCCTTGGATCTCCAAGAGTCCCCAACCCTAGTTCAAAAATATGAGATTAAAAATTTTCAAGTTCCTTGGCAAAGGTCTTAAGAGCTGAAGGACCTTTACGCGATCTACAACATTACATATCAGTGAGATTGGATGGAGAGAGATTCCAACAAATCAAAAAAATTTTACTTCTTTTAACGTGATTGCAATAAATAAATAATAAGTACTGCAAAAGCCAAATTCCAAGAAGAGAATGGTGGTATCAACTAATGCCCTTAAACAAAAGATTAAATTAAATCGTTCAATTAAACTCCCCTACTTTGCAAAATTCTTATATGGACGTATCCAACTAAAGCTTGTTGAACAAGAGTGACGAGCAAGATCCCCATAGCTTAGGAAGGGGATGCCTGACCTGTGGAAATTGTTAAGATTTTTTAAAATTATTAAGTGATATTTTACTGTCTATAAAAATATTGAGCACACTTAACCAACTGCATCATACACAAACAATTTAAGAAGGCAAAAACAACAGTCATTATAAGGCCGCTCTATTATTAAAAATTAAAATTTTTATTTAATAATTTAAGCAAAATCCAATGGATAAGTTCAGTCAGGGCGTGACGGTGAGGAGACATGCTATTGGGGAACGTGCTATTTGCTTGGATTTTTGTAGGAACATTAGTTTGGAAATTTATAATTAAGCCATCATTAGGGACCAAACTGTGTGATCGGTTTAGGAACTAGGTCGTGATAACTAGGATTTTTGATTGAAATCTTGTCTCAGTATCTCTAGTAGGATTGGGGTTTTCGAATCGGGCCTGCGTTGGAGTTATTTTCGGGCTAAAATTGGATGCACGATTCGATCTTTCGAACCGAATCGGGCTCAATCCTAATCTCTAGTCGTCATAAATTGAGATTATAAGAACACTAATTAAATTGAGCTGGCTTCTAAGTAATCCCCATCTCAATGAACATTGAAATAATCCCCTTCGCAATAATCATTATCTCAATGGCACCCCTTTCTATTTTAATACATCTTATCATAAGATCCATTTTATACCCTCAAGTGTTCCCATAAATAATAAATTACCCATAATCCAGCATTTCGAAAAGCCAAGGGGAGAGAAAGGAAGCCTGCTCCAACTAGCGTTTTTAAAAAATTGAGAAGGGTGATTTTAAATCTAAAAAGAAAAATTTCAAAAAATTTCTTTAAAAATTCTTACGAGAGCCCCTTCTGTCTATACAATCTTCCTTTCTCGTCTATATTTAATTGCGTATTTTTCTCCTTTTTATTATTTTTATTTCCTTCATTATCCCCTTCAAATTCGTTATATAAAGGTGGGGGAATGTTATCAATTGGAAAAGGGGAGGATTTAAATGAATTATCATTATAATTTAATTTTATTATAGAACAATGAGTTTTTTCAGAGGGGGAAACTTTGTTGTTGTTAAAGCTGCCGTTTGAAGACATTTTTTAAAATAAATTAATATTATTATTTTATAACTGAAAATAATTATTTAGTTAAAAATGAAGAAATAATTTTCAGCAAATTAAAAAAATTTTTTTGAATCTAGCACATCTTTTAAATAACATTTAAGTCTGCGCATTTCACCCCAAAGGAGAGCTATCGGGACTAATTTTAAACAAAATTTAAAGGCTTATAAGGATTTTTATTAAAAATCGGAATCCAGCTTGATTCAGAATCTTGTCGATTTTTTCAATAATATTGAACATATATTTAGTTATGCGTTCTGACATTCTCAGTACAGGATTCAGATTTCGTCTCATTCGGTGGTGGGGGAGGTTCAAAAGGCAGACATCCCCTTGTCTAGGTTCCGGTCTAGATACCTTCGGAACATCGATTAAAGTTTGAGAATTGAGTTGAGGAGGCTCGAAAGACTTAGTTGATTAAATGGCAGATTTTTAAACAATTATTTTCAATCAAAATATAAATTAGGGGACTGAGTTTATGGTTCAATAGAAATATTAGACTGATAAAAGTAAAAATCACTGAGATTAGTTGAAATATTTTTTGATATAAATTATAAATAATTTTATACCACAATTTTTATTCCAAAAAATTGTTACTAAATTCTGTCAAAAATATTAAAAATAATAAAAATAGATATCTGTAATAATTATGTAAAATTTTTTTATATTTTTTGGGTATTAAAAACTGTGTAAATCTTCTATTATTATACACATAACTTTAAAAAACGTGTAATATTTAATCGTCAAAAAAAATGTTAAAAATAAATAATAAAAAGTAGGGACGGGAAATTTATTTTTAAAATATTAGTAACGGGAAAAAAATAATTTTTTTGTAGAGAAAAATGAGTTTTAATAATTTTAAAAAATTTAAAAAATAATTTTGGTTTCGAATTGTAGAAATTTCAATTTCTAATGTTAAGTTTCGAAGATTTTTCTATTTCGAAACAGCTCCAATCCTTAAATATTTATCTGGCTATCCATTATAAGAGGTAGTGTCTGTTCTAAAAAATTATTTGGAGGTCAAAAACGGAAGAGAAAGGTTTTCGGATATCAACACAAACCTAAAGCTTTAGAAATGTCCAATAGGAATTTTTTAACAAATTTTTTCCAATAAAATTTTTCTAGAATTCTTCCTCCGTAGTAGTCGAAAATATTTTTATTTTAGCTGAACTAACCCGGAATTTTCGAATTTCTAATAATTTTGTATACGCTCTTATTTTTTTAATTTTTAAGGGGATTAAAGGAAAAGGAAAAATGAATTAATAGGTATTGGGAAAGGATGTCAAAATATAAATTAATAATAAAATAAAAAATAAAATTTGATCAAATAATTTTTTAAATATTAAAATCAAATAGTAAAAAAATTTATAAAAAATTTTTTAAAAAAATTCGGTTTAAGTAAATAATTTTTTAAAAAAACTTTTTTTTAATTATTTGTTTGTATAGGAATTTAAAAGTTTAATTTGGACCTTTAGAAAAAAAAATTTTTTTTAATTCTCAATAAAACTTAAACCTTTCTCAAATTAAAGGATTAAGTGTATTTGTAGTTTGGAATGATAACCAAGTAAAAAATGACACGTTTAAAACACATGATAATTTTTTATTTTAAAATTAGTTTATGTGACAGGTAACGCATGGTAATTGTTTGTTAAAATATTTATATAAATAAATATTTCCATCCAAGGTATTTAAATAATTCTCATAGTCATGTGTTTTAATCGAAAATTTAACATAAAATCGGAATTTAAAAAAATCCCGAGTCGATTTTTAAGATATTAATTAAAGACCGAACTGGGAGTGTCGCACGAGAATCGAGATCAAGATCTTGAAAAATTATAGGTACCGAGAACCGGGATTTTTTATCGAGATAAATAGGATTTCCTGTCAGGGGCTGGGGGGATTTCGGAGAATTAAAAAAAAAAGTTTCTCAAATTCTTCAGCTTTCGTTGATGGGACACTATGATAAAGCTCCCTAACTGTATAAAAATTTGGACTATTTCTTATAGTGCCACGAGGAAAAACGAAGAAAACTTAAACTAAAAGTTCAACAAAACAGTTTATGATAGAGACCGGACCGATACGATATATCGATAAAAATATCGATATATCGATGTCGATATTATCGATAAACGATACCGATATTATCGAACGATAAATTTTTTGATTTTTTCGATATTTATCGATAATCGATATTTTTCAATATCGATACCGATATATCGAACGATAAATTGTTCGATATTTTTCGATATTAATTTCTTTTAAATTTTGATATATTGGCATAAGGTTTTATTTCTCTTTTAGATTAAATACTAGTGACCGGCGTCGGACCTGACTCCAGACGGATTTCCCGACGCCCGGGTCGCATATCCGGGTTTTTTGAATCCAAAAAGATCCGGTCCGTTTCTAGTTGCCAACGGCAGTAGGTACAACCGACATTGGTACAACTTCCCCCGACATTGGTACAACTTTCCCCGACATTGGTACAACTTCCCCCGACATTGGTACAACTTCCCCCGACATTGGTACAACTTTCCCCGACATTGGTACAACTTTCCCCGACATTGGTACAACTTCCCCCGACATTGGTACAACTTCCCCCGACATTGGTACAACTTCCCCCGACATTGGTACAACTTCCCCCGACATTGGTACAACTTCCCTCTTCATTGGTACAACTTCCTTCTTCATTGGTACAACTTCCCCCGACATTGGTACAACTTTCCCCGACATTGGTACAACTTTCCCCGACATTGGTACAACTTTCCCCGACATTGGTACAACTTTCCCCGACATTGGTACAACTTCCCTCTTCATTGGTACAACTTCCTTCTTCATTGGTACAACTTCCCCCGACATTGGTACAACTTTCCCCGACATTGGTACAACTTTCCCCGACATTGGTACAACTTTCCCCGACATTGGTACAACTTCCCCCGACATTGGTACAACTTCCCCCGACATTGGTACAACTTCCCTCTTCATTGGTACAACTTCCTTCTTCATTGGTACAACTTCCCCCGACATTGGTACAACTTTCCCCGACATTGGTACAACTTCCCTCTTCATTGGTACAACTTCCTTCTTCATTGGTACAACTTCCCCCGACATTGGTACAACTTCCCTCTTCATTGGTACAACTTCCTTCTTCATTGGTACAACTTCCCCCGACATTGGTACAACTTTCCCCGACATTGGTACAACTTTCCCCGACATTGGTACAACTTTCCCCGACATTGGTACAACTTCCCCCGACATTGGTACAACTTCCCCCGACATTGGTACAACTTCCCTCTTCATTGGTACAACTTCCTTCTTCATTGGTACAACTTCCCCCGACATTGGTACAACTTTCCCCGACATTGGTACAACTTTCCCCGACATTGGTACAACTTTCCCCGACATTGGTACAACTTCCCCCGACATTGGTACAACTTCCCCCGACATTGGTACAACTTCCCTCTTCATTGGTACAACTTCCTTCTTGATTGGTACAACTTCCCCCGACATTGGTACAACTTTCCCCGACATTGGTACAACTTCCCCCGACATTGGTACAACTTCCCCCGACATTGGTACAACTTCCCTCTTCATTGGTACAACTTCCTTCTTCATTGGTACAACTTCCCCCGACATTGGTACAACTTTCCCCGACATTGGTACAACTTTCCCCGACATTGGTACAACTTCCCCCGACATTGGTACAACTTCCCCCGACATTGGTACAACTTCCCTCTTCATTGGTACAACTTCCTTCTTCATTGGTACAACTTCCCCCGACATTGGTACAACTTCCCTCTTCATTGGTACAACTTCCTTCTTCATTGGTACAACTTCCCCCGTCGGGAAAAAATATCGAAAAATATCGACGATATTTTTCGATACTCGATATTATCGATGATCGATACCGATATTATCGAACGATAAATTTTTCAATTTTTTCGATATTTATCGATAATCGATATTTTTTCGATATCGATACCGATATATCGAACGATAAATTTTTTGATTTTTTCGATATTTTTCGATACTCGATATTTTTTCGATATCGATACCGATATATCGAACGATCACTCGAGTCCGGTCTCTAGTTTATGATACTAATATTAGAGTCAAACCTAACCTACTATTATCCCCCCCCCCCGCTACTCTCTAATTTGGAAGGTCTGTTTAAGCTATACCCTTCACTTTAGGGTACTCCTAATTAGAGACTGGATAGAGAGTATTGTACGAAAATCGAGATCTCAATCTCGAAAAATTCTCAATATCGGTAACCCAGATTTTTTTTATCAAGATCTCGTTCCGGTCCGGTCTCTACGCCTAAATATAGTGAACGATTTTTCTATGAATTGCCATCTTAAGGGCGTATACAAAAATAAGGTTTGAGTAATGTATTTACAAATATAAATTTTAATTTTGTAGTGTGTTTTAAAGTAATAAATCTCGCGCAGTCATCACACCCTTTCTTTACTAAATTAGTAAACAAGTTGAAAAAAATAAACATTTTTAAAAACAAATTTATTTCAACGATGTTTGGAAATATTCTCTAAAATTAACAAATGTGCACAAAAAATAAAAATTTTGCTGATATGAAAATTTAATGGCGCTCAGATAAAATTTTTTTTTATTTGTTTTTATTGTTTCTCTCCCTTGTTTTTTTTTATTCTTTCCTCAAAAAAATTTTTTTTCACGCTTTGTGGTTGTAAAAATAGGGGAAGGAGAGAGGAGGGAGAGGAGGGAGAGGGTGGCTGATAAATTAAGAAAGAGAAGGGGAATGATTGATAATTTTATTGTGATTTAATTTTATTTTTTTCAATTCGTTTCGATTAGAGTCTGAAAATAAAGATCTTTACCTTATAGAGTGAGGAGTAGAATTGTCGGTTCCTGGAAATTCTTCGGATATCAGAAACATCATCGGTTCTTCGGATCGGTCCATGAACCGACAACCCTAGTGAGGTTTTGAAGGAATGGATGTTCTTCCT